ATTATATCCCCTTTACACCAAAACCACTGTTGACTAGTGTTATGATTAACCTATTCAGTTATTCGCCCATTCACGTATTTGCTGAGTGTTGAAGGAGAAGTGTTGGCTTACTTTAATACCAACGTTATAAATTTGTACATTAATTAATGCATCCAGTGGAAATAATATATTCGCAGCGAATGAAACGCAAAGGGGGAAAATAAAAATAAATATTTTATACGAATAAACTTAATATATTATGCCGAATAAGGTTATATTTATGTTTTTATTTATTAATTGGAATCGATATAAAAGGCGCGTGAGTAATGTTACAAAGTATCAGTTATAAATATGAAAGCACCCATTTTGTTGGAACTAGCTACTAGACATGAAACAAGGTTAGTTCGCTGTATGAGTAGAATGTATGTAATCATTGGCATCTTCCGAATTGAAAAGTAATTTAACATTGCAATTGATAGTTACCAAATCAATATCTTTGATATCTGTATCAGCGATCTCAACTTGGATATTCGGTAACTGGTAAAGCTAATGTGATCAACTATTTCTTAGCTCTAAGAAGTACAGCTTAGGTTGGGTTAAGTTAACGCCGCTAGCCGATTACGAAATTTCGAATGCAGCTAATTGGATCCCTGGGGGCTCAGTGTTTGTTCTGAAGCGCGAACCAAAATGCCTTCATATTAGCCTCGCGAAGTTTAGACAGTCTAAAAGAAAGTGTGCAGATGATTCCATTTCATCTTCCTCTTGACAGCTGATAAAAAAAGATCAGTTGAAATTCCTAGTCACACTGCATGAATACGAATCGCGCAAAGGCCGGTCAGAACCCCCATCACTAGCCCTTGAGAGGTAACGTGTTTTAAAGTGCCATATACAAACCTTTGCTGCAGTAGAGAAACGTCTTTTTCCTTATTTATGTAACAAAACATTTTACCGATAGCTCCCCTACAGCAGTACAAAGCAACCGACACCTTTCTTACCCTTTCCTCAATGTTAGGCTTACACGACAGCCGCCGTTGATCGCCCACCTAGTTACTTGGTTCAGGTAACCTTGAGCACGATCAAAAAGGGTGTCTAGAAACCGTCCCTTAACCAAAAGTTCTACATCAACTACATAGACGATCACCCGACAGCCCACTTTTCCAGGTTCTCAAGAAGGTCGTTTACAACCGCATTCCAGATCAGGGGAGAGAGAACACCACCTTGTGGAATGCTCCTAATGACTCTACACTGAGTCACGAAGTAAGTTTTGGATAAGCCTTATAATGTTGGTTTCAACCCCCAGATTATGAATATACGTGACTATTTCCTCTGTAGTGGCATTGTTATAGGCCCCCTCGATATTGCAGAAGGCCCCTACTGCACAATCTTTATGTGTGGAGGGTTCCTCTGACCACTTTACCAATGTTTTCAGGGCGGTATTCACCGACCTTTTCTTGCAATATGCTCTTGAAAGACAGTCACGAGGAATCGCGTTTCTTATGTATAGGTCTATAAGTCTCTCTAGCGTTTTTAGCATAAATGAAGAGAGGCTGATTGGCCTAAAATTCCTAGGGGAAGCATGTGCGCCTCTTCCGGCCTTCGAGATGAACGCAACGCTGACTACCCTCCAAGCCATGGGGATGTATCCGGTCCTCACGCAGTTCGCATAAATAGGATCCAACCATATGCACGACATGATGCCATCGGTCCCCGGCGACTTTCATGGTTTGAATGAATGTATCGTCTAGGCCACGTGACGATGGTCCAGAAGATCGGAGAAGTACAGGACCTGGGGGGAGATTCTGAAACCAATTAGCGACAATTTTCGAATCGCACTTTTTGACGCAAAAATATTTATATCATGGGCCAAAAATTCCGATAGCGATCCAAAAATTATCGCTAATTGGTTACAAGATCTCTTTATCGTGAAGGACAAAATATTGCAAACAAGTACATTTGACTGTACTTCGAAGTACGCAGTACAAGAGCAAAAAAGAAGTACGGTTGGTCACATTAGGCAAGCAGAATAATTGCAAAAAGTGGTATGAGCATTCGGCGGCTTACAAACTAACTCACCTCTGCTTTTAGCAAACTTTGCTCAATAATTCGGCATTTCCAATTGGCATCAGTAGGTGGAGAAGAGCTCCGACTAGCATGGTTTGTTTGACGCTACGGCCAATCAAGAAGAAAAGTAAGTCAGGGGGTAGTATCATAAAATAGTGGACGAAGTTACATACCTGCTAAAACACCGATGTCCCCTGAACATCACCAACATACCGGGACCTCAATGCTCTGTCAGGGAACATTATTTGACGCTCAGAAAGCGAAACCCGATTGGCGGCTAACGTGGGGAACTAGCAGGCACTTTTTGTCGGAAGATAACTCTATGAACTCAATGGCTAGAACCAGACCGATATCACTCAAGAACTGAATCCGACATTTTGCGAAAAGCCATAAACGGCAGTCTCCAAAAAAATCACCTACTTCAAAAACGCTCCCTCCGTGAATTCCGTCATCCGAGTTCGAACATCACACATGGCACCAGACATGGGCGTAGTGCACTAAATTTCAAGTGCCACTAAAATTGAACATAGTGGAGCTTACTTGATTCTAATCCCACCTAACGGGACTGAAAGTTAGCTGCTCGCCGAAGCCGCAAGTAGGGAGCAGTACAAAACCAAAGTAAAAAATAATATGTTTAATTTCTAAGGCCCACTTGCATAACAGCAGGTTATCTATATAGCTCGACGTATACTAAGTTTCTGGATTTCTCCAATTCTCCTTCGTCGGAAATCTAAAGACGTACTTTCTTTCAAAGGAGACTCCAGGTATCAGTTTGCGCCTGCAACTTTTTAAACAACTCTCTGTGCCTGGAACTCTGATCATCGGGCCACAATCATTACCTCCTCTTGGATCCCTCAAATTAAGAAATGTCAAATCCAACAAAGCAGTAAGATTCGGTCCTGACGTTGTAGTCATGGTGCATGTAATGCCTCTTTACATTCTCCTTTGTAGCCTGTTTAACAAAAAAAACGTGGCTTTGACCACGGTTCTGCGCCCCCATACTACAACAGAATGAAACTGAATACCATAGCTGGTTTCAGATCCGGGGTCCTACTAGAGCTTCTCCGACACTGTCCGAAAACTTTTAGCGCCCGATTTCCCTTCGGCTCGAGGTGAGTTTTCTATTTCAGCTTCAGCAACAGCTGGTTTTGATGTTAAGTAGGAAGCTAAATATTAAAAAAGAAATACTGATTTCCAATTGGTTATAGAAATTGCAAAGCCGTTTCTTGCATTAGTAATTTTATGTTTTTTGCCAGGCGATTTTTTAGGACAGTTTCAACGACTACACAAATACATACAAATGGATATATCTGCCTTGCGCATTTGCTCCACTTTCCAGCGCTAAATTCTCTAATCTTCTTTCAGCTTGTTTTATCGGCTGAAATTTCTGCAGTTTCAATTTCAGTTTCACTGCTTCGAAATCGCAGCGAGTAAGAACTTTTTAATGAGATTTCAAACTCGGGCATTGCGAAAATACTTCCAACCGATAGAAAGGCTAAAGGACGTATTTATGTGTATAGGTACATTAGGGTTATCCAAAAAATATTGAAGTCGGAGTTTTAATGCTCTCACCTCCTAAGATTGTTCTATACCGAATAAATGTACCCCTATTTTTATATTTTGAAATAAAAAAATATTTAGAGTTCGATCAAAGCGCTCATAGTTTTCCATGTATTTTATTTAGAAAAAAAAAAACAACATGTCGTAGAAATGGTGCAAATTTCTTGAAAATCAATATTTTGCAATCGCAAAACTCTGGTTCTCTTCAGGAGACCTTTATTAGTAATACCCAATTCTTTATCTAACCATTTTTTAATACCAACCACTTTCTATTGGTCCCCTCATTGCATTTTTCGGAGTTTTTGGGGATTTTTGGTGAACCTATAAATTATAGTTACTGTGAAAAGATGGTTAAATAAACAATTGTGTGTTATTAATGGGAATCTCCTGAAGAGAAACCGAGTTTTCTGATCGAAAATTATTGATTCTTAAGAATTCTATACCAGGGACCCAACCGGTTATGACTTTTATAATAAAAGTTTCGAGAAAAAAGTTATTTTGTGACTTTTATTTTATGAGAAAAAAAATTACTGTTATAATTTGACTTTATTTTTCAGTCAAACAATAACGGTTAAAATGTGACTTTTATTTTTTTCGGCAAAAATAAAAGGCTTATCTAAATAACAAAAAAACCTTAGGTCTAAATAAAGTAAATTTGGTACCAATCGATTCGTCTTCACTTCTAGATTTCAAAAATATAATAATAATTTGTTGATGTTTGGGTTCTGACTCAGCAAACGAGACCAAAACTAGCTGCCGTTTGATGCCAGGGATAGCAACATATTAAATGCCAATTCTTAATGAAGATCCATGGAGTATTTCTTTGAATGTTTTCTATGTTATTAAATATAATGAGGAATTGATTTAATA